ACACGTAGTGCTAGTGCAAAGGCCCCAGGGCGTGCCATACATGCTTTTGACAAGTGCCGAATGGCGTGTCTAATGAGGGAAACAGCCGAACACATAGTATCGTCTGTGAACATTGGAGAACAAACATCATAATGGATAGTGAATCTGCTAATGATAAATATTCACTTAAGCCGGAAATACGGATATCCAATGAACTAGCAAATAACATGAGCCCTCATGACCAATGGGCAATGTAGCAACTCATTGGAATATTTAGCGCGACAACAAACAAAGCTTAACCCACATCGTCTCAACAGACTAGTTCGGATAGTAATGGAGGCGCAAAATATAGATATGACACCAGTTATTTAGCGGCACCGCACGCTACCGCGCGCATCAAACGGAAGGTTCGGGATGAGACAGGACAGCCGACGAAGCGCTAGATTCACCGCTAACATAAGCTCTTTATCTTAGCAGAAGCTCACCGTTTGATACGCGCAGTGGAGTGCGGAGCTAAAGTGGTGTCTGTAAACAACCACCATGCATCGAATGCCAGTGTAATTTAGCGGTCGGATTGTGTGTGATGTTAAAATATAAACATCCAGCACTCGTTATCGTATTTTTGAACTTACACCATACATTTTTAGGAACTCTGGGGGGCATAGCGGTTTAGTGGTATTTCGGGCTGATGATAACAACGCAAATGAAAGAATATTGAAATGAAATGCTTCATCTAAGTGGTTTTGAGTGACCTCTATATTCTTGCTTTATATTCTTGCGCATATCGTTATTTTTATTATTTTTTTATCTCTTTTTTCCACCATATATTTCCCGTCCTACCCTCTACATCACTTCTTGGAACCAACGCCTCACTGATGCTGGGACGCGCGCTATGGATATCGTGGAATCGGCGTTTTGCGCGCCTCTTATCGGATCTTATCAGTCGTTATCACTTTGGGTCCCCCACCAAATATGTTCCGTCCCACCCCTACACCAAAGATAGGATAGAATGATAGAAAAAAGTAAAATTAATGATTGATCGATAGCTACTGTGATACAAAATCTCCTCTCTCAACTACAGCGCTCCACTGTGCAGTGCCGGAGGGGCCCGCTATGAACTTCCGTCAGCCAGACAAACACAACGCTTAGCCGATTATATATAGTAGATAGATTCATCTATGGTACACTCGTCGCCCAATCTACTACTCTCCAGCGATTTCAATCGATACGTATCTAATCTTGTCAGCGCAATCTCCTACTCTACTACTATCCTAATCTCCCCGTCAATACATATGTTTTTCATTGTCGCGTACTATCCTAATCTCCGGAGTCGCGAACTATGAACGCGGCCTACAAGGCTACGCTATCGCACCCTGCGTCGCGCACAGTCACGGAGGAACAGGGAATCTCATCCTGTGCAGATCCTATCACCTGCCATTTCGCGTGACAAATGTCAAATTTACATTAGAATCGAAATCAGTGTTCGGATCTTCAAGCGAACAACCAGAGTGAGGACTTCCCACCCTTGAAAGTCTGAATGTTCAAGAGCCTGCGGGTAGCTGAGAAAGAGATCAAAGCATCTGATGTGCATGAATGGATCAACGATTCGTCCACTCTCCTTAACTAGTATCTAGCGAAACCACAGCCAAGGGAACGCGCGTGACAAAAAAGGGGGAAAGAAACAGTTGCTTACAAGGGAAGGATGGTAGGTCGAAGTGGCCGTTCGAAATGAAATGTATACCTCCTGATGCGTCTCCAGACGCTGATTCCAAATCTGCCTTCCAAATCTGCTAAACGACTCTCCGAACGGAGTTATGAAGCGTAATAGCTCAGTGGTGATGGTCCAGGGTGGCAGGTAAAAGCTCGTAGGATCGGTTCCTTTGCAAGTTGGTTGCTTTGCTTTTGTCTCTAGAAGTTGCGGACAAAAGCAAAGCAACAAACTTGCAAAGGAACCGATCCTACGAGCTTTTACCTGCCACCCCGGACCATCACCACTGAGCTATTACGCTTCATAACTCCGTTCGGAGAGCCGTTTAGCAGATTTGGAAGGCAGATTTGGAATCAGCGTCTAGAGACGCATCAGGTGGTATACATCTCATTTTATACGGCCACTTCGACCTACCATCCTTTCCTTGTTAGGCTCAGCTCACCATTATTCGACATCGTAAGAGTCATGAGAAGTGTAGCATAGCCGGGAGATTCTAGCCAACTTAGTACGACCACTTTCATCGATTATTTACTTACTCTGGTTAACGGCTTCCGGTTTTTTTTCTTTAGTCTAGGCAAAGCCACATGATGCCTGTTTACCTCGTCAAAGACATCTTGACTTTCAGTACGAGTAGACCGCGAAACAGTGGCCTATCGATCCTTTTAATCCAGATGGTTTCTGGTAAGAGGTGTCAGAAAAGTTACCACAGGGATAACTGGCTTGTGGCAGCCAAGCGTCCATAGCGACGTTGCTTTTTGATCCTTCGATGTCGGCTCTTCCTATCATTGCGAAGCAGAATTCGCCAAGCGTTGGATTGTTCACCCACTAATAGGGAACGTGAGCTGAATTTAGACCGTCGCGAACAGGTCAGTTTCATCCTACTACTGAATAATGTTGCGTTTACGTAGTTTTTTTTAAATCCTGCTCAGGAACAGCAGGTTCAGACATTTGGTTCATGGACTTGACCGATCGGTCAATGGTCCGAAGCTAACATCTGGGGGATTATGACTGAACGCCTCTAAGTCAGAATCCCACCTAGTCAAGGCAGCGATAACTTTGTTTCCCGGTGTCGGGAGGCAACTCTATGTCGTGACAACATAAAGCTTATGCTCTACTGAGACCTTGCCTTTATGATATCCCTGCTGGTTGTGAAAGCCGGATCACTCTGGTTCGATGTGGTGCAAAATCACATGTTTACGACATCTATACTGGTTAGGGTGACTGTGTCCAGAGTCAACCCTGCGTTGCGCAGTTCTCAACGGCCACGTTGCGCAGTTTCGCCCGATTAGACACGTTCTCTCGCGCGAACATTCACACTCGCATGCTCGAGCCGTCTGTGCGTCTCCGCCCATACAGCGTGCGTTGAGGATCTCTCAACGTGCCGTTGCGAACTGCGCAACGCAGTTGACTGACTGGTGTATCCAGTAGCGCAATGTTGCTACACTGCGATCTGTTGAGACTATCCTCTAAAAGGTGTTTTTGTCCATTTTCGTTCACGTATTTTAAACGTTCAACATATTAGGTTGTCGGAAAAGTCTTTGCGCATTTGGCAACTTTTTTTTCAAAATTGTTTTTCTTCTTTAGTGCAGCCAACAATTGCTGAATACATACACCACCAATAATCGTCGAAACATTGCTCTTCAGCAGGCAACTTCAGGTTGCCGGCCCTTCAGAAATCCCGAGTCTTTGGGGCGAAGAGCTCAAAGAGGTTGACTCCGAGTAGGTCCGGATCATCGAACTGCCCCTATTTCAGTACCTTCGACGGCAACAGAAGCGTATGGTGGCCCGTCTCCAAGTTTGCTGTACACACTAAGTGGGTCAGATCATTCTATAACGAGCCTGGAGACCTTTCCTGAACCTTCTTCGTAATTCTTGGGCAAGCGTTGCCGACGTAAAGTAGAGTTTCCCCCTTTTCGGACCATGCCGGAAAACACCCTCACTGCTAAACACATTCTTCGAATAGGCAGGGATTCGTAGCAGCTCTCCGTGAGCGAAACATTTGCAGCCTGAAGAGGTTCTAATGTTACCTCCCAGGTTACTGTTCTCTTATCGGTGTGACGATCCTTTGTTCTACGCATCCGAGCCAGTCGTGCTTTCGCGTGCGGTTTATATGAGGATCCCTTCTTCGAACACCACCAACCAAAGTTGGCGGATCAAGCGATAGACGGCCGGCAAATCAAAATGTTCTTGCAAAATTTAATGGTCTCAATAGCCTGTGGTCAGTCAGATCTCAAAATATCCTTTCGCCATAATTTCACTTCTTTAGAGGCGATATTGAGGAACGGCCATTGTGATCTGGTAGCACTGAAGAGCTCCGCCAATTACCGTGCATTGCACTAACCACTGTCTCCAACAAATTCAGAATGCACTCGTCATGAGATGCAGGCTGACCAGATTTTGGTTTTCCCAAAGTATCTATAAACTCGCAACCACACAACGCAGTGTATACAAACTATCGGAGGTCATCACAACACCGTAGAACTCCCACTGCTTCGCTTCAATCGACGCATTTTGTGGGCTTATAAAGGCAGGAGCAGTCGAGCATACCTTCAGTGAAAGGCGATTTTTGAGCTTCAAACGCTGCGAAATGCTACGACAGAAATGCTGTGGAGAGAGCATTAACCACCGCTCACATGCGTTCAACAGTGAATGTTTCAAAACGATCCCAAAAGATTTTGCAAGGTGAACAAGAAAATGCGCAAGAACTTTTCCGACAACCTAATATTAATCACTCGCCAATCATAAAATCGGCCAAGAAGCAGCAAACGGGAGGCAGCATGCCTTGTTAAACCGAAGGTGGGAAGACGATATGGAGACATTTGTCCTCGTATTCGAAATCAGTCATTGACACCGTGATCTAAATGCATAGATCTTAATCGTAAACAATTTGGCTATGTTTCTGGGTCGAAAAATATATAACGTTCATAACAAGCCTCAATCAATTTTACAAAATAATCACGGGCTTACTGTGGCTTAGATTCTACATACAAACAATAACAGACAATAGACAAAAGAAACGGAAGTTCAAAATAAGTAGAAGATCAACAATCGATGTCACCTGTAAACTGTACATGATTACAATCGAATATCTTTTCGCCGTCCGTCCAAAGGAACCATTTTATATTATTTATAGTCTAGTCAACCGGCGCAATCGCCCCATCAGGCCATGGCATTAAAAAAAAGTTCCAAATTTTTTTTGTTACTTATCCATAATAGAGCATCCTGAAGACTCGAAGGAGATAAGGTAAAAGTAGTTGAAGAAAAGAATGCGAATATATATTCACAATCATATTACTTTCCAAGAACAGATCACTTATGCGTTTGACTCATCGCTTTGACTAGCGTTCTGACTTTCCCACATCTGATAGTAGACGCCTTTGGCAGCTAACAACTCGGCATGCCTGCAAAACAAATTTCTCTAGAAAAGCCGAATGGATTCCAATATTTTTAAGCGAGTGTGAAAAACAACATTGATTCGACCTTTTACAATCATAAACGAGTTTTAATCTACAAAAATTAAAACGAACTCATTCGAGTAGTTTCAAAAAGCCGCCGACAAAGTCCTGAACAAAGTTGGATTCTTAGCGCAGCTGAGAGTGAATAGGCAATAAACAAGCGGTGACGAAAAATGGGAACTTCCAGTTTCTATCCTCTACAATAAGCTTATATTTAAAGACACGAATCGAGCTCAACTTGTGTGGTCATATCATTCCATGGATTGACATGAACGCAAAGGGGAACGTGGGTGAGAAGGACCAGCAAATGTCGGGTGTCGTATGACAATGAAACACTACGCTACGAGGGAAGGGAAAACGCGAGAGAGCACGTTGTTAGCCAGAGGGCGCAGGCGTCAACTTGGGCCGCGTGGCAGAGTGGCAGCGCCGGCACGTACGCGCCTCAAGGGTACTCGACAGGAAGGGCAGAAGTCATTAGTCAGTGCAGACACTCCAGCGTGTGATGTGTCGTGTAGGACGGACGTACAATGGTACATTCTATTGATTGACGCAAAATCACTACAGCGCTGCAACTCGTCCACTGACTGCCTTGTTGCCGCACGACGGGCATCCTGTCGGGTACCCGCGCAGTTGCCGTGCACTTTCGGAAAAGGTCCGGCCCAGGTGCGCGCGCGGTGTCGCAAGCTCCTGGCCGGACACCTTCTTTTCTCACTAACAGGGAGCAGGACCTGCACCTGATCCCTCACCGTACGTTAACAAACTGGAAACCGCGCAGGTTTCAATGTTGGGTGGCAGCGCAGAAACTGAAACCAAGTTTTGGTTTGTTAATCAAATTGAAAAGAAAAACATAACGGGATTGATAGCATTACTTTCTTGAATAAGTGTGTCAAAACAAAGAGACTTTGCTTCTCTTGCCAAAATAGGCCTGCAATGTTCTGCGCAAGGCAGACTGCAACCTACGTAAGGGCTGCATAGTCTCCAAAGTTTTGTATCAACCACAGAGCAAGCTGTGGAAGTCCTATCCTTTTGATAAAGATACCGAGTCACGATTCTACACTTTGCACTCTCCTATTCCTGTGGTCATTCCATCATTCCAGAGTTACCAGAGGATCGCCACTTCGTATGAATCTTAATTGCTTAATTATCTCGCAATAAGTCTTCCTTCTTCTCCCCTCGCGTCCCCTCCCCCCGCCACTCCCAAAAAGGGAGATTGCAAGTGATGGCGCCCTATCACTTCAACGTTCCGCGCGGGTCAAGCCCCTCCCTAAGCTCCCGATCAGACCAGTTAATACCATAAGTCTTCCATCCTATCCAGATAGGTACCTCGGTACCGAACCTGTTTGGGAAGTTCAGTGACATAAATTCGCTGGCCTTTCGCAGGTCCATTCTATAGAGCGGATTGCGTTCAAAACCGCTTTTCATAGCAATCACACGTCTTCTCGGTAAAAATTCTACTTCTACAATCCAGGTTAACTTCTTTGTACTGCACGTTGCAGGAATTTTTGTGCAATTCATGTTTGGGAGTTCACCGCTCAAAATCAAGGTATTTGAGCGAGACGACTACGCTCTCGAAATCGCGCCTGTCTCACGCGGCCAAAAAAGCCCAAACGTGGTGCCGTCTGCCGTCAAGGTGTAGAAGGGGACACGGTGACAGACAACTGTTATACTTTTCTCAACGAACCCTTCACTCCTCAGAAATAATCAACTCAATAGCTATCAGCTGGAGATAACATACCGTCCCCGCTCGACTATCCGACCATTCTGCAGTACCATAATACAGTCAACGTTGACTATGGTGCTCAATCGATGGGCGACCACGACGCCCGTTCGACTAGCACACAGCTCTTCCAAACATCGTTGAATAGCACGTTCAGTATTCGTATCCAGCGCGGATGTCGCCTGAAACGGCTAGAGCTTCACGGAGCCGAGCGTAGGCGATAAGATAATAAAGTGAATGAAATCAACTGAAATGAAATAAATATGTGTACTAAAGCACTTGGTCACTTTACCTCGTCCAAAAATATGAACTGTGGCTTTTTGAGAATGGTCCGTGCTATCGCGACACGTTGTTTCTCACCACCAGACAGCTTTAATCCTCGCTCACCAACCATCGTTTCATAGCCTGTAAGGCAGACTATTAACTTCGGTAGAAACTCATTGATTACTGCAAATGTCAGGAAACCTGATAATACACAGTTCCTATCAAATATCACCTTCTGGAAGGCTCATGATCTTATCGTGGATCATTGCGGCCTTTGCGGCTTCGTAGACCTCCTCATCTGTGGCCGACGGACGACCAAAGCGAATATTGTATCTTAAAAAACAGGAATTCCAGCAAAGTCAAACATAATCAAACGAAAAAGTGAGGTGGTTCACAGCAATGGCGCAATATGTGCTTCAAGGAGGAACCTTACAGTTCTTGACAACTGATTGAGAATTTTCTAAATCTTACCGTATCGTATCGTTGAATAGTACTGTATCCTGTGGTACAATTCCAATTTGTTTACGCAGCGATACCAACTTCAGGTGTCGTACATCCTTCCCGTCGAAGAAAATAGTTCCCTCGGGGCAATCGAATAAACGGAACAACAAACGAATCAACGTACTCTTTCCACCACCCGATGGGCCTACCTAAACATGCACTATAGTATCTTCTTTAATAAAGTATCTGAATAAATCAAACATCTCAAATCGTCGCGCATCCCACTTCTTCCACGGATTGGTACGGATTCCCATACAGCCTATATTTTCTAAGACTAACCGATGCACGTATCATAGTTCTCGCGGCCTCAGCCGAGTTGGGTATCAAATGGTTGACCTCAGAGGAAAGGAATCCAAGCCATGAAAACCTTTCTTCCTTCGGGTTTTTTAAACGGTACCAGACAACTCGGGGGGGGGGATGAAATATACCCCACTTCCATTTTAAATCCTATTTGCACAAAAAATTGACAATGCGAGATTAAAATGCAGGATAATGCCAATGAGGACACATCTTTTTGAACTTTTGCTCCGCAAAAGTCCCCCAAATTTGTGAAACTCACAAGGGCAGTGTAGTATAGAAAAAAAACTCCGTCCTGAAGTTATTGTAAAGTAAATTCACTCACAAATGCAATAGACTGTCCACTGCCGACTTCAAACGAGATGTCATTCAGCACTATTCGGTTCTCGTTGTAGGCAAATGTGAGATCTTTCACATTTGTCCATTTGTTGGATGGTATTCGATTGCGTTTGGGATATCCCTTACCTGAAACCGACCACTTCTGGCTAATCCAACTCTGCAGGAAGTAAAATGCAGTGAACACGATGGCCGGAGGGCCGTGCAGTTTTGACGACGTCGTTGAACTTTAGTGGTCGGAGGGACCTCTTAGCGCGCAAGGGGTGTGGTTGGTGCTGCCACTTAACGCTCTTTCACCAATGGCGTCACGAGAACTGCAAAACCCACCAGTCATCATGATCACTGCCTTTAAGAAGTCAAAATACCAGTTGAGCGAAAAACTCACATCGACCTCCTCGTTCATTAGGTCGAACATGTTCTCCATATCAATGAAAGACTTTTGAATAGTTCTAAATCATGTTCATCCCCATTATTTGAAAGACAAACTTCAAAGAAAGCAAAAATATAAGGGTTGAAAAAAGAACCCACCTATACACTGTTCCGAAAAAGTTCAATGGAGAATACAATTGGAGAATGTATGTGGTGAACAGAACATAATCTCCTACCTGAAAAACCCCAGTGAAACACTGAAAAATAACTTCACACAGATAGTGAAAGCATATTCACTTACACTGTGGCTAGAAAAACTTGCTTGGAATAATGCCTTCCTTATAAAGCACTCACCGTGAGCTCGTGGTCAACTGTGACTAAGTAAGCGACAAGTATAGAACCGGCTGTCATTCCGAGACCGATGGTGCCGTTTTGTAGAAAGTTCAGCAGAGCCAAGGGATGCATTGGAGCGCCATTCAGCCAACTGAAATCTGCAACGAACCACTCATGAAAAATTCACGGCTTATTCCAGCGTAAGACGAACCTCTCAATTGCAACTCGGAAGCGATCCACTTCGTACATCTCGTTGCCGTAGTACTTTACTGTCTCATAATTCAACAGGGAGTCCGTCGCAATGGCACTGCTTGCATTCTCCTTCTCATTCATGTCTCGACGGAATTTCGTACGCCATTCCGTTACATATATCGTCATTGCTAAAAATTAACACAAATAAAAATGTGTCAGAAAAGTCAGAAGAGATAAGAATGAAGCCGTTTCAATAAAAGGTAATCTCCGCGTACCGAGGCTGTCTAGTCTTTCACTTCCCAAAAACCCAACAGCAACCTATTTTAGTCCTCAGTTTGACTTACAGTACCGTGCAGTGAAGTATTCGTTTTCACTTTTTTAAACGTAACTCCCTCAAAACTCAAGCTTTTGTTCCGATCTTTAACAGGACCGTACACAGATACAAACATTATGTTCAGATTGGCCATTAAACACCATTGTTGATAACTTAGATCACTATCATAACCCATTCATTGGAACAGTTCATATAGAAGATTAATGATACTATTGCGAAGAATGAAACCTCACCAAGGTACAAAACCATTGTCACAAGCACTATACCACCAAAATAGAAATTGAACGTCGAGAAGAAGAATACCACAGCGATAATAATGTCCGCAATTGTTGGAACGATATTGAATAAGATGTAGCTGAAGATCAATCAAATTAATGAAACCTATCATTATTAGGAATTCAGCACTAAAAAAGTAAACGAAGGGAGGTGAAAACAACAGATAAAGGAGGATAAAGCATTTGCCGTTGATCAATCCCTTTTTGGGATGCGGCACGCATTCTACTTCCATTTGTACATTCGTAGTGGCGTTTGAATGCGATGTGGCCTATACAATGACTTGCGGGGGCCAGCCGATGTACAAGTCAGTGTTTTTATCCTCCCAGACAAGTCTGGTACCAATTAACGACCCCGGAGGGATGGAAGGCTTGGTTGGCCCGACTCACGACCCAGGATTTGATCCCCGGACCGCTCGCGTGGTAAGCGTGCCACTTGCCACTACACCACTTCCGCCCCACAACAGAACAGACAAAAATGATCGCACAGAGCAAATTCCGTAGGAAATAGTGAGCATGCATATGAAAGACACTGAGCAAAATGAACAAGTTATAAGCGAAACGTACTTCAAAATGCTGTTCACTGAACTGGTGCCTCTGTCCATTACACGGAGGACAAGTCCAGTTTTCCGAGAAAGATGCCATCGCAATGACAGAGAGTGCAGATGTGCAAATAGCTCCACCTGTGGAAAAAATGTTCATCTCTTCTCAAAGGGAGAAAATAACCAAATAATTAATAATTAAAATAAGTAAAATAAGCAATTAATCAAGCAGGAACTTTGCTGCAATTTGAAGATTT